TCTCTTTGGGTTCATCTTGTTTGAGACTCTTTGTTCTTCCTGAAGTTTCATGTCTGTTTGCCTTACTAGATTAAGGAAATTTTTTGTCACTATTTTTTCAGAGAGGTTTTCAATTCTTTCCTTCCTCTCCTCCTTCTGTCACCCCTATAATGCAAATGTTGGTGTGCTTGAAGTTGTCCCAGAGGCTCCTAATGCTATCCTCATTTTTTAAAATTATTTTTTGTTTTTTCTGTTCTGACTGGGTGTTTTTTACTTTTTCATCTTCCAAATCTCTCATTTGATCCTCTGCTTGATCTACTCCACTTTTGATTCTCTGTGATATAGTCTTACTTTCAGTTAAACTATTCTTCATTTCTGATTGGTTTGGGGTTTTTTCTTATGTTTTCTAGTTCTGTTTTTATGTTTCCTGTTATTGTTAATGTTCTCACTAAGTTCATCTACTCTTCCTCTAAATTCAATGAGCATCCTTATAAAAGCATTTTAAACTCTGCATCTAGTAGATTGCTTGTCTCCATGCTGTTTAGTTTTTTTTGGGGGGGGGGGGGGGGAATTTTGTTCTGTTATTTCATTTGGAATATATTTCTTTTCTCCCCATTTTGCCAGCATCCCTGTATTGGTGTCTACATATTAGGTAGAACTGCTATGTCTCCCAGGCTTGGTAGAGTGGCCTTATGTAGTAGGTGTTCTGTAGGGTCCTGTAACAGAGCCTCCCTAGTCCCATAAACTGGGCACTCTAGGTGCACCTCCTGTATAGCCTGTACACCCTTCTGCTGTAGTTGAGCCTTGACTGCTGTTGGGAGGGATTTACCCCAAGCCAATCAGCTATAAGGACTGGCTGCAACCACTTTGGGGTTTCAGCTATGCAAGGGCTCACCCCACGGAGCAGGACTTACTTCAGCAGTGCTCTGGTGCCCACTGAATTCACCCCTTGAGTGTGTCATTTGTGGAGGTGGCTCTGGAGCCTCCCAGGCAGTGCAGGTCAAGGTCAGCCACCACCTGTGTCCTACCCAGGGCCACCTGGACTCCTGAGCTACATAGCAATCTGCATATGGCTGTTACTTGTGCTGGGCTTGGAGCTGCCTTGGCAAGACCAAGCTATGAACCAAGACCGTTGGACCTGGTGCCAGTTAGCAAGAAATACACAGTTTGGTTCATAATAGTGATGTCAAACATCTTCTCATGTGCTTATTAGCTACTTGTATAGTCACATGCTCCATAGCAGTGTTTTGGTCAATGACAAAATGCCTATGTGGTAGTGGTCCCATAAGTTTATAATGGGAGCTGAAAATTTTCTATTGCCTAGTAACATCATAGCACAACCCATTACTGGTTTGTGGTGATGCTGGTGTAAATAAACCTACTGTGCTGAACCCTATAAAATTATAGCACATGGAACTATATATAATACATAATACTTAATGATAACAAATGACTATGCTGTTGGTTTATATATTTACAGTATATACTTTTTATCGTTATTTTAGAGTGTATTCTTTCTACTTATAAAAGAAGTTTGCTGTTAAGCAGCATTTTATGATGCACTGGCAGCAGCCTTAAACATCTCATGTTTACTGCATTTCTTAAATATGCAATATTATTTTCTCTCGTGCTTGATTTAATCTCCTATTTTGTTGTATAGTAACATGTTGTACAGTCTTGTAGCCTAGGAGCAATAGGCTGTACCATAAGCTTAGGTGTGTAATCGTCTATACCATCTATATTTGTGTCAGTGCGTTCTGTGTTTGCACAATGATAAAATCACCTAATGACGAATTTCTCGGAGACCGTATGAAGCTGTTAAGTGGTGAGTGACTATACCTCCTTAGAAGAAATGTCTATTCAATCTTTTGTCCATTTTTTTTCTGCATGGAATTTTCTCATAGAGAAATTGAATTTTCTCCTTATGTTTAAAAAGAAATCAACTGGAATTGTGTGGAGCCAATAAATATTACATAAAGCATTAAACCTCAAAGCCTTTGTAGATGATCTTTTGAGCATTTTATTTTGAATATTATGATTTTCTTATGAAATGCAAAATTTCAGATTATTTTTACTACAATTCTTTCTGTTCAAATTTAATTATCATTTGGAAAACTAATTTTGTACAGTAAGTGGCTGCTTACAATCAATAAGACTTACAGTGCTTTCCAAAACTTTTAACCTTCATTATTATTGAAAATCAAGTTGTTCTTTTGTTTTCTTTTTTAAATGTTTTAAAATTTAATTTAATTTAAACAAAAAATAATTCACTCATTTCCCACACTCCCCATCTCTTGCAACCACCAATCTGTTCTATCTATGAGGCTGGACATTTTTTAATCCTCACCTGAGGACATGCTTATTGATTTTAATGAGAAGGGGAGGGGGAGAGAGAGGGAGAGAAACCAATGTGAGAGGGAAACATCAATCTTTTTTAAAAAAATAACACTATGTATGTAAGTATTTATACACTTATGTATGTATATATTTATGTGTCACGCATCAGTCTTTCCTTGCCTGCATGCCCTGACCAGGAATGAAACCCACAACCTAGGTATGTGCCCTGACTGGGAATAAAAACCATGACCTTTTAGTTTACATGATGATGCTTCAGCTGAGCCATACCAGCCAGGACTGAGCTTGGATATTTTTGTTATTGTTGTTTTAAAGACTTTATTTCTTTATTTTTAGAAAGAAGGGAAAGAAGGGAGAAAGAGAAGGTGATAAACATTGATGTGAGAGAGAAACATTGATCGGTTGCTTTTCATACATATCCCAAATGGGGACCAAACCCTCAACCTGTGCCCTGATCAGGATCTGAACTGGTGACCTTTCGCTTTGCGGGATGGTGCCCAACCAACTGAACTGAACCACACTGGTCAGGGCATGATTTCATTCCTTTTATAGCTGAGTGATATTCCCTGGTATATATGTATCACAATTCTTTGATCCATTCATCCATCGATGAACACTTAGGTTGTTTCCATACTTTGACTCTTGTAAATAATGCTGCAATGGACATGAGAGTGCATATATTTTTTTCAATTAGTGTTTTCATTTTCTTTTAATAATTACCCAGATGTGGAATTACTGGATCATATGGCACTTCGATTTTTAATTTTTTGAGGAACTTCCATATGTTTTGCTTAGAGGTTGCATCCACTTACATTCCCACCATCAGTGCACAAGCGTTCCCTTTTCTCTACATCCTTGTCCACACTTGTTATTTCTTGTCTGTTGGTAACAGCATTTCAAATGGGGGTGAAGTGATATTTAATTGTGGCTTTGATTTGCATTTCCCTGACAATTTATGATGTTGAGCATCTTTTCACGTACCTATCTATTTCTTCTTTGGAAAAATGTCTATTCAGACCTTCTGCCCATTTTTAATTATATTTTTTTGTTATTGAGTTTTATGAGTTCTCTATATATTTTGGATATTTGCCCCTTATCAGATATATGATTTGCAATTATATTCTCCCATTCAGTAGGTTGCCTTTTCATTTTGTTAATGGTTTCCTTTGCTGTGCAGAAACTTTTTAGTTTCATGTAATCCCACTTGTTTATTCTTGTTTTTGTTGCCTTTGCTTTTGGTGTCAGATTTAAAAAATCATCATCGAGAACTATGTCAAGGGACTTACAAACTTGTTTTCTTACAGGAGTTTTATGGTTTCAAGTTTTACATTCTTTAACCCATTTTGAGTTATTTTTATAACTGGTGTAAGATAGTGGTCCAGTTTAATTCTTTTGTGTGTGGCAGTCCAATTTTCCCAACATTACTTATTAAAGAGACTATTCTTCCCCCACTGTATATTTTTGGCTCCTTCATTGTAAATTAATTGATCATATATGTATAGGTTTATTTCTGGGTTCTGTATTCTGTTTCATTGATATATGTTTCTGTTTTTATGCCAATACCATATTGCTTTAATTACCATAGCTTTGTAATATAGTTTGAAATCAGGGAGCATGATGTCTCCAGCTTTATTTTTCTTTCTCAAGATTGCTTTGGCACTTTACCCATTTTTAATTTGAGCTGTCTGATTTTTTGCTGTTGCGTTATGAATTATTTATATATTCTAGATACAAGTCCCATACCAGATAAATGATTTGCAGATATGTTCTCTCATTCTTTGATCTGTCTTTTTACTTCTTGATGATATACTTTAGAGCACAAAAGTTTTTAATTTTTATTAAGTCCCATTTATTGTTTTCTTTTTTTGCTTGTTCTAGCATCATATCTAAGAAGCCATTGCCTAAATCAGAGTCATGTAGATACACCCCTGTATCTCCTCTAAAGATTTTCTAGTTTTAGCTCTTATACTTAGATTTATGGTCCTTTTATAGTTAGTTTTTTATATGATATAAGATTTATCTTAATTCCTAAGAACATCATAGTTTTAGAATGTTCTTTACTAGATTACAGATGAAAAAATTAGTAAGGAGGTTTTTTAGGTTGTTTTGGGGAGTCTTTTAAAAAATCACTGACTCATTGAAAACATGAGAAATCACATCTATTTATATCATCCAAAATATACCTCTTTACATAAGCTCATTTAGTCTATTTTGTAAGAAGAGAAATACAAACATAAGGTAACTTAGGAATGGCTGCCAATAGCAGCTGAAATAACACTTCATTGAAAGAGTATGAATAATATCTTGATTACAAATAAAAGCCTGGTCTCATCATTTAGCCTAAAATTGGCTATGGCTACATATCATTTTTTTAGTTTGATTAATGGCAGAGTAACTAATTAGAGTAGGAAAAAGATTAGCAAATCATTCAAGATGTCAAGTGCAGTCATTTTGTCATAGATAATATATTAAAGCTCATAGTGACAGGTGTTTGTAATAAATAGGAACTGAAAATACTCAAATCTTGTAAAGTCAAGATAATGTTTTTTAAATCAGTGTTATTTATTTATATTTGACTTTCTTCCTCTGAATTGACATATTGTTGAATTGGGCTTTGATTTGCTGACATGCTGATATTTGGTGTATATTTTCTCTTTGTTTTGCAGGATGTACAGAACCAAAAATTAAAGACAAGTGTATGGTACCGTGAGGTAAATGATTGTTTCCTTCCATACATGCTGCACTCCTGATCTTGATGTGTTTAAACATATTATTATTATAGGGAATACATATTATCTTTATGTTTATAGTTCCTTAGATCTGCAGTCAACTCAATTTATTTGAATTCATATAAGTGTATGGCCGCAGTTCCTGATTGGGATTACTATCCTAAAGACTTTTATGGGAAGTCCTCTATCCTCATAGATAGTACCAACAAGCTGATCAATTGTATATTTATCCAAGTCTCTCTTCAATTCTTTGTTGAGGTTGATATTGCCTCTTTTTGATAAGTTGCCTTTTTGGCTACCCCTAACAGGTTTGGGATGATGAGTTTTTATCGTGGAACTCCAGCATGTTTGATGATATTAGAGAGATCTCCCTACCTCTAAGTGCCATCTGGGCCCCTGATATCATCATTAATGAATTGTAAGTGTGTTGGGTATATTTTTGTGGGGTTTAGACTGCTTAGAATATTCAGGCCAGTTTCTGCTTACTTTCATTCCTTGTTGCTATTTTTTTTGTTTTGTTTTGTTTTGTTTCTCAACTTGAAGAGGAACATATTGCTGGGAATATTCAGGTTAAAAGTACCATAAGTTGATTACTGCTTGAGGTGACTCATGGATTTTGTTTGTGTTGTAACAGTAGCAACACAGTAGTAAGTGAGTTAATTTATGAGGTTGTCATTACTGAACCAATCTTTGCTAGGGTGAATTATCTCAGGGAAAAGTGATTCTGTCTGTACTTCTGTTTGTATGTCATGGTTACAACCATCTCATAATCCACTCTGTGTTTTGGAACAGCTAAAGCTCTCCCTGTAACAACAAAGTCTCTTTTGTTTCTTACAGTGTGGACATAGAAAGATTACCTGATCTTCCTTATGTTTATGTGAACTCATCTGGAACCATTAAGAATGCTAAGTCCATCCAGGTGGTCTCTGCATGCAGTTTAGAGACATACACTTTTCCATTTGATATCCAGAATTGCAGCCTAACCTTCAATAGCATTCTGCACACAGGTAAACCATGAGAGGTACTGTCTTCTAGGGGGAACATAGCTGTGCTGAGTTGTTGGCACACATACATGTAATTATATTATGCCACTCCTCAGGTCTATTTTATTATTGCATATAATTGACTTTTTCCAAATCTGAATGTCTTCCTGCAGTTATTTGGCTCATGCTGTAATTCAAACCAAGAGAAGTTTATGCCCAGATTATAGTGCAATTGCTGCTGTTGCTTTGGGAATACAATATTAGGCTTCCAATGCCATTGAGAATGTTATAGAAGTCATGGGAGCAGCTACATCAGTCTATGAATAGTGGAATCCAAATCCTAAATTCATAGTTTTTTCATGGTTAGAAAGATTTTATGCCACACCTCTACCCCTAATTCAAAATGGTTATATTGAACCCACTCCCCCATCTCAATAAGACTATACATGTGGGGGCAGGAGTAAAATGAAGAATTTGGTCTTAGTGTCTCTCTCTCTAAGGAGAGAGTCAATTGTTTCTGTTGTTTTTAGTGGAAGATGTAGACCTGGCCTTCCTGAGGAGCAGAGAAGACATTAAGCATGACAAAAAAGGATTTTTGAATGACAGTGAGTGGGAACTTCTTTCTGTGTCCTCAACATACAACATCTTGCAGAGCAGCGCTGGAGATTTTGCACAGATTCAGTTTCACGTATGTCCTTCCATTTCATGTCTCTGTTCTCCACTTTTCTGCAACCTTTGGCCTTCTGTACTGAGTGAAGGAATCTCTGCTCTGTTGCATATTCCCATTCATTATCATTCAAGAACAGCTGATTCAGATGACTCTGGACATCACTTACATTCAGGCATTTCAGAGGCCAGAGGTTCACAGATCCCAGACTCCTGCTGTAGACACTCCACACATGAATATAAAGAGAATGGTTTTCAGACACACTAGAGACATGAAACATCCACCACAGCAGGAACCCTCAGCCTTTTAGTATATACTAACACCCTTACTTCCAATTACTATGGAGAGAAAACACACATACACACACACACACACAAACACAGCAACAGTAAACAATTGGGAAAGGAGTGGTTCTTCAACATTACTATCCTGTTTTTGAGTAAATTGTTAATTAATTCTAGGTGTAGATGCATAAAATTACCATATTATGAAATGGACTATCTTGAGGGATTAGCTAATAAATCACCTGCAGGATCCTCAGAGACCACAGGTGGTTTCTGGATTAGTGAGAACAACTGCCCTAAATGCATGTGATGGAAACCCGGAGTGCTCAGACATGCCACCCAGAATGCAACATGTCTGCATTGGTCACAGAAAAATTTGTCCAGCAGTGCTCTGGGGGGCCATGGGGTGCAGGACCGTGAAACCTACTGCTTTGCACGCTATATAGACAGCCATTCTCCCTTCCCTGGCCCTCCTGGCAAACCATACTGACATGTGGGCTACAGCAAGTTCATACAACCAATAGACTCACATCATTAACATTCAGCTCTGCTTTTTTGCACAAAGTCAGCTAATGGTAGTAGTTTGAAAGGATGGTAGGAGGGGGAATCCTTTATGTCAGGTAATAGATTCGATTGAAAAATAGACTACAGACAGATCAGGATTGTATACAAGATGAATTACCCTGGAAATAAACCTTTTGAATAACAAAGAAAATTTAGACTAGACTAAGGTACTATGGTTACAATGGATAATTATATGCTAAGGAATAGTGGTGATGAAATTAGCTGTTATTGAGGATATAGATGCCCTTCCAGTGGTTAAAAGGTATTGTATATAACTTTCAAGGAAAGCTCGTGTTAAATTGGAGCCTCTTAAAAAGCTCTGTGGTTTGAACCTGGCTAATGTATAGCAATGGGTACTAGCTAATCACAGCTCTTATGTTCCTAGTGGTGCAGTTTGGGTTCTTGCCTGTTCTGCTTGGTTTTTAGCAAAGCTTGCATTGTGGCTTGTTTGTCCACTTTTTTTAGCAAGGGAAAGGGAGGGGAAGAAGGAAGCTTTTTTAATTTCAATGAGTTTCTTGGCTAAGAGTAAACACCTCATTAATTTTAAAGATATCAGCCCGCAAACATTATTAATGCAGCCCAAATAATGGAGAGCATTAAAGGAAAATGTGAGGGAGTAGCACGTGCAAGGTGGAACACAGTCACCTACCAAGCACTCCGGAGAACGCTGCACACACCATTACCTACACTGCGCAGAAAGAGATGATGAGCAAAAGCAAGAGATGGGACAGATAAACACACACACACACTCTCTCCACAGGGCAGCCATTATTTGTAGATACATGTGACCCTTTACCCTAAATATTAATTTTTCTTCTCAACAGTGGCAAAAAGTTTTCTATGTGCTATGATGAACAGAGGTGTAAAAGATTTCTTAAGGAAGGAGGGGCCTCCCTGGACGTCAGGAACCCTGGTCTTGATACTCTGTTCTCTTCACCACCATACTGCTTCTCCATTCACAGTGTTTACATTGAGGCATGCTGGAGGTGGGCAGACAAACATTTGCATGTTCTCAGAGCCCTTCCCTGGGTCCCTTTGCCCTTGGGGGCTAAGGTGGGCTATCTAGCAGGGCTGGCTTCTACCCTGGCCCTATAACAGAGAGTAGGGAGTGAGTAGAGTCACAGATCATATTTGGTAAGTCAGGGAGCCAGACTCAGGAGCTTAAAGGAGATTTGGTGACTATCCCAATTTTCTGTCTCCGTCGACCTCTCTCAGCCTCCCTGCCTCCCAGTTCCTGCTATGTGCACTGTCGCTGGGCTCATGTTCTCCTCCTCCATACCAGAAATCCTGCTCTGAATTAAGCAACCAAGACACCTGTGTCCTTCAGCAGCCCTTGGCCAATGATGTGAAATTTAGAGCCCAGTTCCATTCAAACATTGGGTCTGCCAGGGTCCTGACAGCAAAGAGTCATCTCCCTCTTAATATAATTACCTGCTGTGTCCCAGTCCAGGCTGTCCAGCAGGGCGTTGGGAGCCAGTGGGACAGGCAGGAGGTACAATGATCTGTTCTAAGTACATCATCACCCTGAGCCTAACATTCACTGCTGCCATTGAAATGAAATCCAATGTTCCAGATGCCCCACTAGTTCCAGCCAATGTACAATCACACCTGCCAGCTCCAGGACATGTCTTGTTTCTCAGAGGGTACTGCTGAAGCTTTGGAGTGGGACTGCATTCCACAGGGGGCCCAGAGGACAGGCACTTCTGCCTGCAAGGATGTCTGTGTGCAGCTGGGCACTGGATCCAGCAGTCACAGGAGAGGAGTTTTCCTCCAACACACGGTTGGAGGTACTAGTTCTCAGAAATATCAGGGTGAGCATTCAATTTCTGTATGGCGGCTTTTTTTTTTTTTAATGAATGAGGTTAGAAATGGGAGTAGGTAGGAATAAAATTTAAAAAGGTAGACAGCAGTGAGAACTAACGTTAGTGTCCAGGCAGGAACTGGGGAGTCCACTGGGGACTTTTGGGAAAATGTAGAGGGGCATTTGGGAAAGGTAGGTGCCTCATTTATCTCCTTTTTCTGACAGTTTTGTTTAAGTTTAGGGTTGAGTTGTCTTGTTGAGATATCTGTTGAATTCTGCTCATAAACTTGATAGAAGATCCTTCTGAGCACCAAGAGGTTAAGAAAGAGGAGGGAGGTATAGAGAGAGAAAGGTGGGGGGAAAGAGAGAATGATTTTAGAGGCCTGGAAATCTTTCCAGGATCACTCAAGTAATCCTGGAATCATGGACTCTGCTAATCCAGCTGAGCCATAGTGCAGATTTGAGAAACTCTTACTCCAGTGGAAGGATCTTACTTAAATGCCAGCAACTTTCCTATTCTTTCTGAATTAGTAATGTTGGGAGGGGCTTGGGAGAAGAGGAAAATGGGCTTCTGTATGAAGCGTGAGCCTGGGCGTCAAAATTCCAACTATGTCATAAAGACGGTCATGCAAAATTGAGTACTGGTGGGGTCTACCATCAAGGAGGCAATTAGAGGCTAACCTTGGGGCCTATTCCATCTCCAAGGAGCTCTCCACACACACATTCTGAATTAGATTGATCTCTTTCATTAACAACAATAGGCTCCAAATACCTTTGTGTACTTATTATTACCTGGCTTTAATGGATAATGAAATTGTGGCATAATATTGCTAACACCTGAAGGGTGTCTAATGGCAAACACAGACTGAAACTAAAGTGCTTTTTCTTCCCTTTCTGTGAAATTTAAAGGCACCAGCTCCTTTAGTCCATTAGAAATGCTGGGCTTTAGGTAGGGGCAGTTCTGCAGAGAGCAAGCAATGTGTCACTGAGCTAGTGACATACCTTCCCCCCCAAGAATAAGCAGGGGTTGCTGCTTCTGGTGTCACCTGCAGAGAGGTAGCCTTCAGAGGGGGGCATGACCTCAGTGGGGGAACCCCCAATTGGGCTAACTCCATGATCCCACTCCACTGAACTCAAAATAGCATTATTAGTAGAGTACAATGCAACTCAGCAAATACCATTTGAGCTTTTATCTGTGCCAGGCTCAATGGTAAGACCTGAGGACACAAACATCAATAAAAGAAGGCTCCTGATACCTATCATAGACTTCAAAATCTTCCCAAGGAGAAATAATAACAATAACCGCAGAACTGAGCATTTACTCTATGCCAGGCACCATTTTAAGAGTTTGTACATGTAACCCTCACATTTCTAGGAGTTGAGTGCTCTAAGTATCTGCAGTTTTATGAATGGATGAATTGGAATGCAGAGAAATTAAGTAACGTACCCAAGGTTATAGGGTGACAAGAGGAGCCGGGACTTGAACCCAGGCAATCTAACTCGAGAAACTGTGTGCCTAATTCTATATGATGATGACACAAATAAACATAATGTTGTATATTCCAGTCCATTCTTTGGCATCTGTCCATGGTGTGTAACTGGGCAAGTCACCTGTATTAGTTTCCTAGAGCTGCCATAACAAAGTACCACAAACTGTATGACTTTAAACAACAGAAATTAATTCTCTCACAGTTCTGGAAACTAGAAACCTGAAATCAAGGTGTTAACAGGGTTGCTTCCTTCTGAGCACTCCAAGGGACAATCTGTTCCATGCCTCTCGCCCAGCTTTTGGTGGTTGCCAGCAAGCTTTGGCTCGTAGGTGTGTCACTCCCATCTCTGCCTGCATCTAGACATGGCCTTCTTCTCTGTGTGTCTCTTCTTCTTAAAAGAACACTACTCATAGGGAATGAAGGGTACGTCTTCTCCAGTAAGACCCCATCTTAACTAATTATTTCCAAATAAGGTCACATTCTGAACTTCCAGGAAGGACATGAATTCATTATTCAACTACCACTCTCTGGCTCCTGAAAATTCATGTTTCTCCCACATGCAAAATACATTCACCCCGTCCCAACATCCCCAAATATTTTAACCCATCCCTGCTCCAACTCTAAGATCAAAGTATCATCTAAATAAAAATTCAAGAGGACCCCAATCTCATCATCTAAATCAGGCATAGACTCTGGGTATGGTCCATTCTGGGGTAAACTTCCTCTTCATCTGCAGACTTATGAAACAGCTAACCACCAGTGTCTGGTTCCTGATCCCATGAGATTTCTGCTTTATGTTTCAGGAGAAGCTACTGTAATTGCCTATTTCTGTTCCTACTGTTTTCCCTCTTCTTTCAGCTACTGTTGATCCAGTGAGGAATAGCCTCATGATAGGACCAGCTACATAATTTGTGGGGCCTGGTGGAAAGTGAAAATGCAGCGCCTCTTGGAAAAAAATTATTAAAAATTTCAAAATGGCACCAGCAGAGCATTAAACAAAGAACAGAGCCCTTATAAATGTGGAGTTTTGTGCAACTGAGCAGTGCCCATGCCTTGGAGCCAGCCTGAGTCCCAACCTCCTAGCTCTTGCCCTGAGCCCTAGCCTTAGCAACTGCACTTTCTTGGATATCAAGGGCCCTGAGAAGCCACACTTCCCATCCTTGGTTCTGGCCCAGACTTACGTCCATTCTTTGCATCAGCCTTTGAGGGGAGAGGAGTCATCTCAGCACATGCTATTTACATAGGAACTTTATTTAAAGAGTACAACAGCTAATCTCAATTGTACCCAAGATGTTTGGCAAGGCAAAAGTAAATTGCTCTTTTAAAAGGGGAAAATCAGGCATGGAGAGGTTAAATAACTCATTTGAGATCACTGAAACTAGCACACATAGGCACTTAGAACCAAGAGGCTCTGGAACCCTGTTCCCTTGACTATGCCTAACTCTACCTGCTTAACCAATGTGCCTACCTGTACTTTTCTTTAGGGTACATCCCCTTCCAGTAGTAACCACCATGAAGTCTTTAGGGAGCTTTTTGCTTCTACCCACCACAGACAGTATTCTTCGTTCCCCATCCCCGAACCCCACCAACCACCATCCCACGTGTCTGGATCACCCATAGGTTAGCCTGGACCCACAATCCAGGACCCCTGTGGACTCTGACCACTTGACTCCCTGGTTACTGACCCCACCTAACCACAGCCAGCTCAATCACAGCATCACGAAGGGATCTAGAGAGGTGCAGGTTGATGGCAGCTCATTTTGCCTTTGTTTTCCTTGTTGATTGCACCTTGGTAGAAATGTGTTTTAACCAAATTGTTGCAAAGCAGTGAGTGTTGCTCTGGTTTAGATATCTGTGGCAGATTATGTTTAATGTGAAAGACAACAGCCAGATTACAATCTGCCAAATGTCTCTGGCCTGTCAAAACTCCACTGAGAGGGAATATGCTCTCAGACCCAACTGCTTGAGGGTGGGGGGGGGCGGTCCCCGCTCTCATGAGCAAGATGATGTCTGGTCTCACCAAGGCAAGTTCTTTCCCTGCCACCCTCTGCACCATCCCTGGCCTCTGTCTTGGCTGATTTCTCTGTGATTCTCTTCCATAGCAGGAGACAGGGATGAGGGAAAAGAACCCTGAGCTGAACTCAGAGGTCTGGTCAGATCAAGAGTTGTAGCTCTGCTGTATAAAAAAAAACAAAACACTGAGCTTGAAATCAGAAGATGTGGGGGCACATCCCAGTTCTGCCACTTACTTTACTTAAGGGGGCTGAGCTTTATTTGTTAAAATCTACTAAATGGGGATATTATATATTACCTGCGGACAAGCTTACAGTGAGGAATAACTAAATCACATCACATGCATGGAAGCATTGAGTGCACTCTCTGACATATAGAAAACCTAAAATTGCTTTGTGAATCAGAGAAATGGAAAACACCAGACATTATTTTTTTTTCCAAATCCAACAGTGAAGGCCCAGACCATTCATTTGTTCAGTAAATATTTATTGAATACACACTATAAAATAGATATTATTTCTGGCTCTGTGAGAGATTTTTTAAAGTTGCTGCATTCACTCTCAAAGGGTCTACCATCTGGTGAGCAAAGGAGCCCTGACATTCCCTGGTTTCTCTCCAGGAAGGATGAAAATAGCTTGTGTTTATTAAAGACACTTCTGGTCACCATCCCAGAGAAACTAAGAAAATGGCAGCAAAAATCATGATACCTTTTTTAAAATTAAAATTTTTATTGTTCTATTACAGTTGTCCCAATATTCCCCCATTGCTCTCCTTCACCCCACCCCACCCCTCATTCTCCCAGTCAATCTCCATCCTGTTGTCCATGTCCATGGGTCATTCCTACATGTTCTTTGACTAGTCCCTTCCCCTTTTTTCCACCCTTACCTCTCCACTTCCTCCCCTGTGGTTGCTGTCATCTGCTCCAGGTTTCCATGCCTCTGGTTCTATTTTGTCCATTTGTTTGTTTATAAGGCTCAAATTCCCAGCTACAAAACCCACTCAGCAGCTCAGTACACCAGCCACACTGCAGACCATGATGGGTATCTTCAGTTGGTCCCAGCATGGATCCACGTTCCCCTTCTCCCCATGTTCTGCACTCTAGGAGGCTGAACTGTGGTCTGCAGAGATCGGACCCCTGGTCATGATTGGCCAATAGGGCACAGTGGCAGAAGATTGGAGTGAATGCAGTGCTTATCTCTCCATTTTCCTCTCTGTGGAGTCACCGCCAGACTGGATTTGTCCCTAAGAGGAAGCCACAACTATCCACCATCTTCTTCACACAGCTTTCTCCTCAGGTCCCATCAAGTCTAAGGGTAGGAACAGCTCACCCAGTCCCCCAAATCCCTGGGGCACTGCCCTCTTCCTTGTGCTTTCCCTGTGCCCTGCCCACACCTTGTCAACAGTCTCTCTATTAAGCCCTCCTCAGATTTTATGCTTTGTTCCTTCCCAGCCTCCTGACAGATATACTCACAGGTCCTAAGAAGCTCTCATTCCAAGTAAGAAGATACACTAAACCCAAGACAATGCAATATGTTGCATCACAAGGGGTTGAAGAAGAAAGATTTTGGTGTAAGACCTGGTTTTAAAACAGTTTTTCAGTCACCAGATATGTGAGTTTAGACCAGCAGTTTCATTGCTATGAACCTTGGTTTCCTTGTTTGTAAAATGCAGATAATAATTTCCAGCCCTTAGAGTCATCGTGAGGAGGATTAACTAAGACAAAACATACAAAACACTTAGTCTGGTGCCTGACAAACATAAAGTGGTAAATAAATGGTAGCTTCTTATTATTATAATTATTAATAATATTAATATTAGCTGTATGTAAAAACTTAAAAGATTTTTCCTACTTTCTAAACCAAAAAGTTGTCTCCTATTTCTAAACTGAATAGACTTTTCACATTATGCAAACATGTTTGGACTTCAGGGCACATTCTTGGTTATGGGTTTGGACAAATACTAGTCTACCAACTTAGACCGTCTTTTCAACAAATTTCTTGTCCCTGTCCAGGTGCTGATTCGCAGGCGCCCTCTTGTCTATGTAGTGAGCCTGCTGATTCCCAGCATCTTCCTCATGCTTGTGGACCTGGGGAGCTTCTACATACCACCCACCTGCCGTGCCAGGGTTGTGTTCAAGACCAGTGTGCTGGTGGGCTACACTGTCTTCAGGGTCAACATGTCTGACGAGATTCCACAGAACGCAATGAGCACTCCTCTGATCGGTACACAACCTTGGGGAAACCAGACACCCAACTTGCATGACTCCTGGCAGAGACCTGCATTTCAGATATGAGAAAGGAGAGGTCCCTGAAACTCCAGCTAACTCCACCTCCCCTGGTTCCTTCTTTCAGGGGTCTTCTTCACAGTCTGCATGGCCTTCTTGGTTCTCAGCTTATCTAAGTCCATCTTGTTGGTCAAATTCCTTCACGATGAGCAGCGCAGTGGGCAGAAGCGGCCCCTCTTCTGCCTTCGAGGGGACACCGATGATGATGGACTTAGAATGGATCCCAGGCCTCAGCTTGTTGGGGCGTCAGGTTTGTGAAAATCCTTGAGGTCCCTTCCCTGTCTTGCTTTCTCACTGTCAGCACCAGTTGCCATTGGTGGAGCACCAGGTTGTGTGAAAAAATGTGAAACATCTGCTTCTTAGCCTCTGTGCTGCATTTTACATTACTTCTCTGGGGACTGAAGGCTACCTCTTGCTGGCTTCCCACAGAGTCTCATTCTAACTTGGGGGTCAGGTCCTCAATTCCCTTAGCTTGTTCTATTTTTAGACACATGCACACACAGTGTATGTGTAACTTTGAATTGTAGTTGCTTAACGTGAAAATGTTTAAGTATCATCTTAGCTACTAAAGCCCCAAGTGAGTCAACAGGAGTTGGCCCCTACCTCAGAAAATCCTGAAAGGATCTAGCCTAGACACCCTAGTTACAACACAACCCAATTCTGCTATGTTCTCCTGAGTTTCCTTCAGCAGTCTTGCCTCCCCTCAGCAGGCAGGAAGAGAGTCCCAAACTCCAAGTCAACTCACTTCCCAGTTTTGCCCACAACCTTCCCTGAAGAATGAGATCATCAGCCTCAGTGGGAAGTCTGGGGGTGGTGGGGCCTTGGTAGTCCTTTGTTGACCTAGGGTGTTTTCCTCTCTCACGCAGAGTCCCCTGTCTGCCGAGAGCACCAGGTCCAGTCAGGGACCCTGAATGAAGTCTTGTCCCAGCTTCACTCCATCAACAACTACTTCCAAACCCAGGACCAGGTGGACCAACAGGAGATTGGGTGGCTGGCCCTTCTGGAACGCTTTGACAGACTGCTCTTTCAAGGCTACCTTGTGGTGTTGGGACTCTACACCATCACACTGTGCTCCCTCTGGGCACTGTGGAGCCGCTTGTGAAGACTGAAGCTGGCTGGTCTCAATCAACGTGTTCTCACAGCACTTTGGAAAGGCTGAATGTTTCCTGTGGGGAAATTAGAGGAAAAGAATGTTGGGTTAAAAAGCTGTCCAGCCCCTGTTGCCTCTTTTCATTCAGCCCACCTAATGAGCTATTAAATGACCCAGGAGTAATGTAGTCATGATGAACATGCATAAACAGTACAGGGCATACAGGGAAAAGTAAGCTTGCTTTTATACCAGTTCACTCCCCCAAAATGACTACTAATGGTAATCTCTTTTAGAAAATTTCTAGGTACATACAAACATATCATGTATTTTTAGCAGGGTTTTTCTTTTAAGGGTAAGATCCCTTCATCTCCCAGCCCTCTTTGGTCATTTATTCAGTCAGTAATTCAATTAAGTTCTAGGCATTGTGTTAAGCACACCAGAAAATACAAAACAAGTTAGTCAAGATCATTCTTTGCTTGGCTTGATGCCTGAAGTCAACCTCGTATCAATCAGAATGCAAAATTTCTACCATATCTGTTTCCTGAAGCTCTTGTTCCACTATCACAGTTAGGTCCATCTTCCCTTGTGCCACCTCAGCAGCCAGTGCATTACTACTGGAGGGAATCCATATGTCAAGGCTTCTGGGTATAACCTACTACAACATTTAATGAGTATATACCACATGTAAGGCACTGAGCTGGGGGATAGGCTTGATGCATGGCCTTGGCTTCAAGGAATTTATGATCTGCTATGCTGTATTAGTCAGCTTGGGCTGCCATAACAAAATATCACTGACTGGGTGGCTTAAACAAAGATTTATTTTTCTCACAGCTCTGGAGGCCAGAAGTCCAAAACTGAGGTGGTGGCAGGGTTGGTTTCTTCTGAGGCCTCTCTCCTTGCCTTATAGTTGGCTGCTTCTTCCATGTGTCCTCATATGGTCTTTTCTCTGTGTGTGTCTGTCCAAATTTCCTCTTCTTATAAGGAAACTGGTCATATTGGACTAGGACCCACACTAATAACCTCATTTAACCTTAATTGCTTTTTTAGAGACCCTATATCCAAATACAATCATATTGTGAGATATTGGGGGTTAGGATTTTAACATAAATTTTGGGGAGACACAATTCAGCCTACAACATTGTTGTGATTGTGGAGGCTGGCAAATCCAAAATCTGCAGGCTAGGTCAGAGGGTTAAGACAGCAGGCAAGAGTTACAGTTCAGGTCTAAAGGCACTCTACTGGCAGGATTTCCTCTTCTGGGTAAGTCAATCTTTTCCTATTAAGGCTTTCAAATGATTGAATGAGGCCCCACTCACTTTCTGGAGAAGACTGTTTTATTCAAAAGCTACTGATTTTTTTGTTGTTGTTCAAACACATTTGTCTCCCTTTTCCCACCCCTACTTTCCTCTCTCACCTCCACCTCCCACCCTCAATCCTTCCCCACTTTGTCTTTGTCCATGAGCTCTTTTTACATATTCCTTGATTTGATCCTTCCCCTTCTTTTCCCCATTACCCCCGTCTCTTCTTCCCTCTCATTACTGTCGGTTTCTTTTTTCTTTCAATGTTACTGGTTATATTTTCCTTGCTTGTTTGTTTTATTGATTAGGTTCCACTTAATGGTGAGGTCATATTATATTTGTCTTCTGATTTAAATATTAATCCATCTAAAAAAATACCTTCACAGAAACAACTAGAATGTTTAACCAAATATCTTGGTATTGTGGCCTAGTCGAGTTGACACATAAAATTAACCATCACTGTCCCAACAGCCCCTTAGCTTCCCCACAGTTACTTGTTTTGAACAAAAAGAGCCCAGATCACCTGGCACTTGGGTAACTAATCAATTTCTGGATCATACTCTTTCATAGCCAAATCTGCATTGATTAGCCTACCATATGGCAGTTCCTGTGGCTTCATATCCTGAATCCTAAGATTAGAATTCAAACCTTCCACAAAATTTCCTCCTCTTATACTTGACTTTCTTCATTTTTCATTGCTTCCTGTTACAGAATCTTTAATCCAGCAAAGCCAGCCTGCTTGCCATCCTCCTCAAGAAAGGCTTTATTTCCATGTAGGCCTCTACTTTTACTTGACATACGTTTTTGTTTCACCAACATGTATGTCCCAGCCTTCTTCCCCCAACCTTTTTCACTTTATCACCTCATGACTCTGTCCTCTTCTCTATCTTTAGTCTTCCATGACCTTTTTATTCTTCTCCTTTTGAATGTTTTGTAGCTGTGTCTGTGTATTTACATCACTTATCAAATAGATCACACACTCCTGGGATAGTAACCCTGTTTTCTATTTCTAGTTATCTCTCACATCTGCCCTGATCCATATGGAGTTTTGCTTATGGTGATTCCACAATAACTATAACAGAGTCATTCATTCTAGCTCAGTGATAGTGGATATATTTCTAGTGTGTCTTCCCAAGTCTGAGGGACAAAATTTACCTAAGATCAGACACATAGTCTCTCAGCATCCCTCACTCAGGGCAGCCACGGAGAGTTGGTGGGTAGATGAACACGGTGGGCTGAATGACAGTCATCACTCCTAACACTACCACAGAGGACATAAAAGTCCAAAGTTATTTGCTAGAAACTTTTCCAGCACTAAAATTGCCTTTAAAAAAATCTGTAGCCCTCCATCCTCCCCCCGCCCCCGGAAGAAAAAGAATTTAAATTCAAACAGCCTTTACCTGCATCCCTTCTCTCTCATTACCTCCCAGTTAGTGCTCAATGCCAATTGTCCATGAAATTCCACTGCTGCTGTTAATGAAATGAGGAACATAAGAAGTTTCTGAACAGGAAGTGTCCGTGCAAACCTCCACCTGTTTCCCTCCTCACTTCCTACTTTCTACTACTGGCTTCCTCTGCCTCGACCTGCTCAGTTAGCCTCTAAATTGATCCCTAAATATCTCTTCACTTCCTCAGCAATTAGAGGCAGAAAAAGTCTGCAGTGAACTCCCCATTATGGAGTCTCCTTCTTTTCCAACTATGTCTTGGAGAAAGCACCTGATTTTGGTCCTGGCTCCACCACTGTCTAGCTAGGGGGCCTTGAGCTTAACTTCATAGAGCTTCAGCTTACCCTGTTTGACATTGGGGCTGCTTCAACTTACTCTATCCATATTACAGAATTTTGAAGATCAGAATGAAGCAATGTATTTAACAGACATTTAAAAAGTAAATAATATATTGCAAAATAAAAATAAGACCTGCCTGCTTTAACAGATGGATTCCAGTTCTGGGTCTTTGGTGTGTGTGAGGTCCCATTTCCAGCTACCTCCATCAGAATTCAGTTATAGGCCCTGATACTACCCAGAAGAGCATTTATCCCAGGATCCCAAGGCCAAGGGCTGAAGCCATCACTTGCCTCCTTGTAGGGGACTTGTGTGGTGGGGGCTGCCAAAGGGACTCTCTATTCCACTTCCATTACTGCTCCTTCCTTTGCTCCCTTCCCAGATAATGTGTCTCAAGTTTTTTATGTCAGCCGGTAAGAAGCAGCCGTTTAGGCGTGGAGACTAGCCGATAAGGAGGGCCCTCCTCTGTTCTTGTGTCAAGTATCCCAGGTCTCAGCGTGGCAACCAGGAACTCATTCTAAGCCCTAGGGTCAGGTCTAATGTACATCCCAAAGCAATGCCATTTTTAACAAATGGCACTAGTAACCTGGTCCTGGGATAGTGTTCCTCTGCAGTGGGAGGAAGATAGGGTGCCAACAGCCCTTATTTACAGAGCAGCTTCAGCTCAGCCCCTCCAAATGTTTATTAATTTCATGACTCCTGTTTCATAAGGGAAGGAAACTGAAGAACAGAGCAAAAATGGGATTTTCCCAGCTGTGAATGCTTCTACCATCTGCTCTTCTCCAGAATCTAAGGTAGTTTCAGCACTAACCAAGAATTCACAGAAACTCCCCACAGCAGTTTCAATGCTGAGGACTTCAGTGACGTCTAGAATTGAGTTTGTTGAGCACAGCCCCAGGCTAGATCGGCAGCCCTCTGTCTTTACATCTCAGAATAACTTCCCAAGTGCGGCTGTTATGTTTTCTCATACCATTTGCAGCCTTTTGCATGGCCATTAATTAGGTGGCAGTGGGACTCAGTCTCCTCCTGAGACATCCCCGTCTCCTTCTTGGAATGTGCTGCAGGGAAGGAGCTGTTGTGGTTAAGGAAGCTGAGCCCTCGCCTTTTACATATCTAGGACCCAGTTCTCTCAGGTGGTCTGGCTTTGAGCCTGGACAGGTCAGATCAGGAAGCAAACCAAAGAGGTGCCAGTGTGAGACTGCCCCTGACAGAATTAGCCCTCCTCTCAGCACAGCCTCTGGGAGTCCCAGATCCTCTCCCTGCTCAAGGAGCTAATGATACATCTAAAGGCAAAGTTAGTAGCAGGGGGTGGAATTTACATTTTTACCCTACCCTGTGGCTCTGAGGGGTCTAGAAAACTTCAGATTTAGGTTTGCAGGTAAGGCATTCCTCCATCAATTCTTGGATGGTGGATGGTCACCTCAGGGCAGGGACCTCTGTTCCCATGTTCCCTCCAGGAACTGCAACTCCAGCTGTGCCCTGAGGCCCATCACAGGCATCTCCTTGTCCTGGTCCTGGGCTCACACTCCATCTCAGCAGCCAGAACCTCTCAGTTCTGAGTTATCTACCTGCCGAGACAGTAAGAGCTTCATAATTAGCTGAGCAACAGCATGGAGGCTTTTACGAGCAGCCACGCCCCCCACCACACTCCGGTGTCTGTAATTGAAATGACCCCCGCCAGCGATTAGATTGGGGGACTGAGCAGTGCCCTCCCCTGTCCTGTCAGGGGGGCGATGTAGTTAAGTTTGTGCTTCATTTGGCAGAGTCCGTAAAGCAGGAACTGCAGGGAGGGTTTCTGCAAAGATGGGAAGGGGCTGCTGGGCAGTGGGCAAGCTCTGTGACAGACAACAGGCTCCAGGTCTGGAGGTGAGGGAAACAAGGGACTCCCCTGCTCCCCTTCACCTTGGGCTTACTACCGCTCCCCTAGCCTAGT